GATGAGGGTAATTTTATATCAATTCCATCTGTGCTTTGGGCAAGCTGGTGAACTGGCTCCGTGATGTGGGGAGCTGTAGGAGTATTTCTACAGCTGTGATGTGGGGAGCAATCTAAAGATTCCTGGGCTCACGAGCTGCCACACAAAACTGCCCAGGCTCTGTCTGGGGGCAAACATGCCTACGTTCACAGAGTCAGAGAACCCAGAGCTGGAAGGGACCTCAGTCATGGTCCAGCCTGTACTGTCTCTACACAAGAATCCCGTCTATACTATGACAAGGGGCTGAATAACAAGAAGCCAGTGGACCCAGGCTATGACCAGACTGGATTGGGCCCCAAGGAGCTCATGCAGTCTGCTTCTTCCCTTTCTCTCTTCCTCTATTTCATCACTACAGGTCCACCTGCTCACCACCTAGAGAGAATACGGGTAGTAATGTGCATCTGTCCTCACCCACGTCTGCCACGGTCTCTGTTCCCACTGCTCTACAGAAACTGGTCTCTCCAAGGTCACCAATGATCTTCTAATCAGTCAATGAAGTGGCCTTTTCACAGTTCTCCTTCTCTTTGACCAACCCAACTTGTGTATTGGCTCACAAGAGCTGACCATTCCATTTTCAGTGTGAGCATTTACAGTTCAGAAATCAGCAAACATTACGAACTGGGGCTTGATTTCTTATTTTGATTTCTTATTCTGGTTGTAAAAGGTGTTTCCCAGCTTTCTGCTTCCCTTCTAATCTCGGTTGCATTGGCTTTGTGCAAAAACTTTTTAATTTAACGTAACCAAAATTATCCATTTTGTATTTCATGATGTTCTCTATCTCGTTTGGTCATAAATTCTTCCATTCTCCATAAATTTGACAGGTAAACTATTTCTTGCTCTCCTAGTTTGCTTTGGGTAGTTGCATTTTATCTAAATCATGTACTCATTTTGACTTTATCTTGGTATACAGTGCAAGATGTTGGTCTATGCCTAGTTTCTGCCATTCTTTTCCAGTTTTCCCAGCAGTTTTTGTCAAATAGTGAGTTCTTATCCCAGAAGCTGGGGTCTTGGGGTTTGTCAAACAACATATTACTATAGTCACTGACCACTGTGTCTTGTGTACTTAGCATTCCACTGATCCACCACTCTATTTCTTAGCCAGTATCAAGTAGTTTTGATGATTGCTGCTTTATGATACAATTTCAGATCTGGTACAGCTAGGCCACCTTCCCTTGCATTTCTTTTCATTAGTTTCTCTTGATATTCTGGACCTTTTGTTCTTCCAAATAAGAGGTCAGGTTTCGAGTTGTACAATCTTTGCAACCTAGACAGACGTCACAGGAACCTATTTTGGTTTGTGGAATGAGCTTTCTTAACACAAGAAGCTAAGAGAAAAGAATGACAGAGGTGTTATTTTCAGTGCCCTTTCGATCTCTAAGGTGGCAGAATACTCAAAAGGTTTTATTTTGATAAATGACAGTATTTTTTACCCTGAAACTCCTCTATCAGAGGGGTTTGCACAAAGCGAATTTTCAGTTGGGGAACTGCTTAGAGAAACACAGTAGCAACTTGTGAAAGATAGTATTTCCTTCTCAAGTGGGTAATTATTTTATTTATCAAAATGGGAAGAAGAAAGACATTTGTGTGAGGAACAGACAGTTCTGAGAGGACTTGAGAGAGAAAGCAGCTGCTCAGATAAAGGTGCTTTGAGGGCACAGTGAAAAAGGTCCCTTGGAGACGAGCATACAGACTAACGGTGAAGGCAGCTGGAGGACGCTCTAGCTACACCTGGCTGTCTTGAGCACTTTGAAGTTCAGAGCTGGAAGCTCACAAACAACAACGAGAAAGCCGATGCTAACTATTTCTGTTGTGTATGAGGGAAATGCACATTTGGAGTTTCTGTTAGCTATGGTTACTACCCACAAGGAGGACCTGCCTGGAGACAAGAGAAGCAGACAGAGGGCGACAAAAGTCGTGGAGGTTAGCACCGCCTCTCGCTGAGCCCCGCTGCCTGGAGACAGGCCGGCTCTACCGCGGATGTTGGAGAACTGATCTGATGACGAGCGCGTGGCTGTTTCAAGGAGTTGATGGGAAGAGCACCCGGGCTCGTCTGCCTTGCTCTTTGGCACCATCTACAGGCCAGGAGAAGGGAAAGCCCTCTCAGCCCCTGGAGCAGGCCCGAACGGCTTTATAAGCTTCATCCATTCCAAGCTGGAGGCAAAGGTTTTTCACTGAAAGAATGTAAGCTGACTTTGCACCCCTCGAAGGGAGCAGACCAGGAACGTGTAAAAGATCTGACACAGACACGGACTTAAGATTGTGCTAGAAAAAGCACCCAGTTTGTGGTCAGATAATCTGGGCTTGGAGCCCAGCTCCACTGCCTGGCTTCTCTGGCCTTCAGTTTCCTCCTCTGTGAAATGAGGGGCTTTGGCTAGGGCACGTCCAGCCTTCATTTTAAGAGCTGGTGAACCGTGCACAGCATACAGTCCAATTTCAACATCAAAATGAAAGGACTAAAGAACACGGAAGGACCAATTAGTAAACAAGTGATGATGCAACACGTCAAAGCTAGGTCGAGGCTCAATAAATTAATTTTGGGGCCGTTTCTCTAGGGATTTTTCTTCAACTTGCTTTTCATTCTGTTCTTTCTGCAATGACTAGAGATGAATTAGTATTTTACGCTACTGAAAAATTGGAAAAACCCAGAGAACAGCACTGGCAGAGACCTCAAAGAGGTCACTTGTTTGCTAGGCTCATGAATTTTCCGTTTAAAAAGGAATTCTGAATAAGGAGCTTCCAAATGTGTGGTTTCCTGCGGTCTACAACCCTACTACAACAGTAAAAAGCCATTCTGTCATAACCTTGAAATTAAAAATGGCAACTCAATGATGGGAACCCGACGTACTTGTTCTAAGCAACTGCTCAAGGTGGATCCGGTGAGGCGTTTTCCTCTCTATTTTAGACAAGCTGACATCATTCACAATGAGTTTATGTTAAGCGCAGCACTGCCTGGGAAACTCTATGATGAAACAATTAGAAGAAAAGCAGCCCAAAAACATGAAAGGTCTTCTACTCAGCATACAAATCGATCCTGCTAGCTACAGAAATGGAGGGGCCTTTTATTTTTGGTCCCAGAACCAAATGGTGATAATAACAACAACAATAAAGATAACAACTAGCACGTATATGGTGCTTACTATGTGCCAGGTACTGTGAGAGATACTTTCCAAAGATTATTTCATTTGATCCTTAACAACCCTGGGAGGTAGGTGTTATTATTATCTCCATTTGACAGTTGAGGACACTGAGGCAAACATAGGTAAGGTGACTTGCCCAGGATCACGTGATTAGTGTCTGAGGCTAGACTTGAACTCCAGGCCCAGTGTTTGATCTACTGCACCATCCAGCTGCCTTACAGCTGGAATCACGTATCATCTGTTCTGTGTTCATGGAGCATGGACATGTGATGGACACATCGGGACATCAAAATGTTTCTTACTAAAACTATCTAAATAAGAGAGAATAAACACATATTAAACTCTCCAGGGATGAAGCTAGGTAAACTTGCCATTGAAACCTTTTGGATTCATTCAGAGGCAGTATGGTACAGTGGACAGTGTTAGGTTTGGAGTCAGGAAAACCGGGGTTCGAATCCTACTTCTACTGCTGTGTGTGATCTTGGGAAAGTGACTTAATCTCTCTGGGCCACAGGCAACTCCCTAGGAACTACCTCCTAAAGCCCAGCTGGGCTATGATCTGGGATTTCTCTCACCCTCCAAGAGTCCTTCATCTATCCCTTTTAGAAGTCACTTGTGGAGTGGCCCGGGTGCTACAATTTCTCAGCTGCTTTCAAGGGGAGTCCCTGCACTAAACTGAGGAGGAAGTAGGGCTAGGAGAGGGTACACACCTGGAGACACATGATCTCCCCTGTGCCTGCTTAGTCAATCCCGCCATAATCTACAGACCACGGGGGCAGGCAGACCTTGGTTTCCTGAGTGCTTTTCCCACACAATGGCCCCCCAATAAAGGCTGAGTGACTCATCCCCTTCAGGTTTCCAACCTTTTTTTCAACTAGAAACCAATTCAATAGACATCTATTACACACCTACTCAGTACAAGGCAAAAGGCAGTTCAGAGTAGTAGGTGTGGGGTTGGGCTCGGATGTCAAAGTCTGCCCCATACAGACCATCCTTGGGCCATCCCTCAACGCCTCTCCGGGACTCATCCCCCTGGGTGCAGGGAGTTCACTCTGGGTAAATAAAAGGTGCTCTGCCAGGTTCTTGGAAAAGTGCTAGGCAAGGGGGCATCTAGATGGTGCAGTGGATAGAGCACTGGCCCTGAAGTCAGGAGGACGTAAGTTCAAATCTGGTCTCAGACCAGACACTTGACACTTACTAGCTGTGTGACCCTGGGCAAGTCGCTTAACCCCAATTGCCAAAATAAAAAAAAAAAAAAAGTGCTAGGCAAGGCAGAGTGCCTGCCCCCCCGGAGGGGACAGTCTGGTAGGGGAGGCTGGGCGGGAATACAATATAAAACAGGGTACAGAAGTTCATAGGCAGGTCCAGAGGAGGAAGAGAGCATCTCAGGTGGGGAACTGGGGAAGGCTGAAGACCAGCAGCATCCAGTGAAGAGCTGCTGTCAATCAGCCACCAGCACCCAGGAAGGTAGAAACGGCCCCTGCCCTCCAGAAGCTTATCCTCCAAAGGGGAGACAAGATGCCCAGCAGAACCCATGAGGTACCAAAGACAGAGAGGGCAGCCCGGGGCTTCCCTGAGGGGTAAAGGCCTGGCAGTCTGCTACTAGCTGTGCCTCCCAGACAGGCCACTGGACTCTTCTTGACCACAGAAATGGTCTCCAAGGCTCCTTCCAGCTCCAGGACCACAGCTAGGGGGCTAGGAGGAGACCCTGGTGTAAACTGAGGCAGACGGGAGGCTGTGGGCAGCCACTAGCATGTGGGGTATCTGACTCAGGGCTGCGCCTGACTCGTCACTGTAACACAGGAAATGACAGAGGCTCCATACCTTTAACGTTCTTGTGGGAGCCCATCCAGTGCCGTCGATTGAATGTTCTCTCAGTAAGCTGGAAGAGACAGGAAAACACGCACTGCTTAGTCAGGGTCTGGAGCAGTCTTACCGACACATGGACAGGGCTATCAAGAGTGAATTCATGATACGCTCATTTCAGCATCGAAAGATTTGTGTGGGGTTTTCCTGGTGTGGATACTCTCCTCCCAAGACACAGCTTGCAACCCTTCTACAAACAACCCAGTAAATAGCCCTTCTCCTGAGCCAGAGTCTCTAGGAGCCAGCATCTGGAGAAAAGAGTAGATGGAAACATGTTTTCCCAAGTCTTTTGTTCATGGGTAGTGATCTCGGAAACCTTCTGTAGGAAACACTACTATGACTCCAGGAAGAACACCTGTATCTTAACCATCTGGTCTACTCCTAGGTTCTAAGATGGGCGAAATCTTCATGAATCTACAAAGTTCCATTTTATGATGTGCTTTTTTAAAATAAATTTTTCTACTGGGGGGAGGCTCGGGCCTGCTTCCTCTGCACTGCTGCCTGTCCTGGGGCCATTTTCCCCACGAGCTACAATCCTTAGGAAGAGCTCATGTTTGCGTCTTCTTTCCTTGCCCTCTTCCCGGCTTCCTCAAGGTTTTCCTTCTCTCCCTCTCCCGCTTAGGAGCCTGACACAGGCCGCAGGGGTTCTGCTATAAGAGAAGCCCAGGGCACGGAAGACGACTCATCATGTCACCCTGGCAGGACGCTTGGAATGGTATTTTATGACAAGTTGCTACAACTCTCTTTCCAGGCACCAACTACGCCAGTCATTTACGGAAAGCTGTTCATTTTCTGTTTTGGTCAGAGTAACCGGGGTGCAAAGGATGAATTTACTCTTTCTTTCCATTTCTTTATCATGCAGCAGACACTAGCAGATTGCTGGGAAGTGGCTTTTACCTGAACATTTGTGATAATATCTTAGGTGCTCACAATACCATTGTAAGTATTCTAAATCTAACACAGATCGATCTGGCTGGTTTGTTTGTACTTTTCAGGAGACAAACTGGACAGGAGATTTCCTGAGTCCACCAGGTGGCAGCATCTTTTAGAAATGAAGAAAATGAAAACGACTCTGGCTGTGAGGACAAAACTGAAATCTAACCCTCATCTCTGGTCAGGACACATTCTGGATAAATGAGCTCCCGAAATGTCTCCAGCTGCAAGTGGACTCAGATTCTGGATCTCTGACATTTCTTCTCCTACTATCTCCTCGGATGTTACTTGTTAGCTCTGACGGGGGCAAATGGAAACACAGCATAAATGTGTCTGGAGACAAACCCAGGACCTTGTTACTGTGTGTCAGAGTCAATAAATCTTCAAAGTTGTGTTTACAGCAGTGGAGGTCATGCCTCGGCAGCCCTGTGGTGATGCTGGGCACAGCCCGATGCTCCGTCTGCTGGCACCCCATTCTCCTCCCCTTATTTCTGTCAGATGTTCTGGGTTTCCAGGCTTGCACCTGGTCCTGCAGCCACCCGGCCAAAAGCATCAGAGTGTTGGGGAAGTGTGTTCTTATCACAACTCGATACAGAAGGGCCAACAAAGTCTCCAGGAAGGGGCTGGTATGAAATAGCACAGGCACCCCTCCCCTAACACACACACACACACACACACAAACACACCCCTTCCCACCCCAGGTGTTTCTTGCCCTGTCCTCCCATCCATCTGCCCTAACGCTATCTGACACTTTGCAGGGATCATGACAGCAGCCCACAACTCTCAGGGGTCACCGTGACTGACCCTCCTTTTCTGCTCCCACATTTAAATGGTCAGATCTTTGGTGTCTCTTCATAGAGTGTTGGTAATCCGTCACAACCAGAGGAACTGGCGGGGACAGGAGGCTGGCTCTCAGGCCTCGGGGGCAGGAGGGGGTGGGCACAGCATTCCACAGTTGAGTGAGCACCGATGTGAAGGCAGAGGCCCTGGGCTGGAGCGTGGGCTGTCAAATCTAAGGGGCGTAGGAGGGGACCTCTCGGGCCATGGGCACCTCGAGATCCTGTGACCCCACGAAGGATCCAAAGACTGCCCCCAGCATTTTGGCTGGCCCAAGGCTGATGCACTGATCTGGAAAGTTTTACTGGCGCAAGATGAAGGATACAGTAGACTCTGTCTGCTCCCTTTTTCTCTGCCCCCACAAATCACACCAGAGAATCAATTACTCACAGATTTTAGTCATCCTTGTAATTTTTTATAATCAATTTTTTTTTGCTTGAAAAGGTTTTCAAATAGAGGCAAATAACCTCCTAGAGGCCATGTGTTTTTGGCCTTCAAACACAGCATTTACGGCAAAAGCAGCACTTTCATTATGGAGGAAGGCTAGTCAGTGCAGGAGTGTGAAAGGCTAACAGAAACATGGGCCATGAATCTGCACATAGAGATCCATCCACACAGAAGGAGCCCACCGGGAGAACGGCAACCTGATTTCAAAATGTAACATTATCCAGGTTCTGTTGCACCTTCACTTATTTTGTTAAATACTTCCCAATTACCTTTAACCCGGCTGAGGCTGCACTTGGGAGCACTGCCTCTGATGAGCTACGTGAAGCAGGGAAGGAGCTGGAATCTGGCATCAGAAAGTCCTGAATTCAAGTCCCATCTGTGATATTTATTAGCTTTGAGATCCTTGGCAAGGCAGGGCAGCTATGTGGCTCAGTAGATAGAGCGCCGGGCCTGGAGTATGGAAGACCTGAGTTCAAATCCAGCCTGAGACACTTCCTAGCTGGGTGACCCTGGGCAAGTCATTTCATCCCATTTGCCTCAGTTCCCTCATCTGTAAAATGAGCTGGAGGAAGACATGGTAAACCACTTCAGTACCTTTGCCAAGAAAACCCCACATGGGGTCACGGAGAGCTGGACAGGACTGAAATGACCGAACAACAACCTTGGCGAGGCCTGTAACCTCTAGCATCTCTTGCAGAGCTAAATCTATGACCCTTCGAGCTTGCTTCACTGTCTGGTAATGACAGCCTTTGACATTATGAATGCAAATTACAATAAAAAGTTTACTGCTCAAAGGAGCCACCCTCTCTTTCTGCATTCCTGTGCCCTCTACGCGCTGCCCCAAGCGGGGTGTTTATGGAGGGAGAGTATCTCCTTTCCAGTCCTCCCGACCTTCCAAGGCAGGAAGAGGAATTTCAGGGAACATCAAAATCTGATCTTGAGATGCACGAGCAGACGCCTTAAGAGAGCCCAGGCATACCAGGGCGGAGCTGCCTGGACCAGCACCATTTCACAACTACGTCACTAACATCTGGCTAAACGGTTAAGACATGTTGCTTGTGTCAGAACATCTGGGCTAAAATCCCTCTCACTACAGGCGTGAGTTGGACAGGGCACCTCAGCCCCCTACGTCTCGGACTCCTCAACAGTAAAAACGAGGTGACGCGCACGATCCCTTCGTGCACAGAAAGAACAACACAAAACTACCGTGCTCGTCCAGGTGAGAGGTGTTGAAGGCCGGCCCTGCTGGCTGCTGTGTGACTGGACACCAGGGGCAGCCACGAGAAGGCATTCAGAGACCCAGCTGATCAAACTCGGCCAAGGACACAGATCCCAGGTACTTTAACTTGAAGCTCCACTTCTGAGCTCTATTTGTGGGCCTGGGGGGCGGGGTGCATGGAGCCAAGATGGCGGAGCAAATGCAGTGACTTGCTTGAACTCTCCCCCAAACCCCTTCAAATACCTGTGAAAAAAGACTCTAAACAAATGCTACAGCAGCAGAACCCACAAAAAGACAAAGTGAAACAACTTTCCAGCCCAAGACAACCTGTACGGTTGATTGGAAAGGTCTATGGTGCCAGGTTGGGTCAGAAGCGCAGTTCAGCGTGGGCTCGAAGGCAAAGACCAGGCCTCACTGAACCTGGAGCAGGCCTCAGAGGACTGAATCACAGAAAGTTGTGGCAGTTTCCAGACTTCTCAACCCACAAATGCCAAAGACAACTGAGAAGGTCAGTAGGAAAAGTCTGTTGGACCTGGATGAGAGAGGAGCTCAGTCCGGTACCAGGCCTAGCGCAGCTCTGGGGTGCCGGCTGCTTCCGGAGTTCTTGGCCCACAGATGGAGGGGGAATGGAGTGTCTGATCAGAGGGAGATTATCTGCAGGAATCTCTTTAGTGGTGCAGGATTCTCTTGCTTTGCCTGTCCTAGGATCTGGGTCACAGTCCTGGGTGGTGGTCCTGGGGCGAGGAGGAGTGCTGGCATGGTGGACCTTGTAGTGGTGGTAGAGAGGAAATCCTCCTCACAGTTCCAAGGCAGAAAAGAGTGCCTGTGGTCACTCATAGACCAGAGTACAGGCCAGGAAAGGAGTAAACACCTCGACTTTGATCATAACATCTTGGAAGAACTAAAAATTTACAGGTCCCTAGAAATATCTCTGAAAACAGCTGCACAAAACCCCTAAAGCTTAGGACAGTACATTCTCCACACTGGAAGCAGATCCCTACCTTAACAAAGAGTTTAGAACTCAAGTAATTGACTGGGAATGAACAGGCAGTGGAAAAAGACTCAGACCACAGAATCTTTCTTTGGTGACAAAGAAGATCAAAACATACAACCAGAAGAAGACAACAAAGTCAAAGCTCCTACATCCAAAGCCTCCAAGAAATATATGGATCAGTTCCAGGCCATGGAAGAGCTAAAAAAGGATTTTGAGAAGCAAGTAAGAGAAGTAGAGGAAAAATTGGGAAAAGAAATGAGAGTGATGCAAGAAAATCATGAAAAACTAGTCAACAGCTTGCCAAAGGAGACCCAAAGAAATACTGAAGAAAATAACACCTTAAAAAATAGCCTAACCCAAATGGCAAAAGAGGTCCAAAAAGCCAATGAGGAGAAGAATGCCTTAAAAAGCAAAATTGACCAGATGAAAAAGGAAGTCCAAAAACTCACTGAAGAAAATACTTCCTTAAAAATTAGAATGGAAGGGGCAGTTAGGTGATGCAGTGGATAGAGCTCTGGCCTTGGAGTTAGAAGGACATGAGTTCAAATCCAGTCTCAGACACATGACACTTACTAGCTATGTGACC